TTCCAAAAAAAAAACCTATACGTAAGTCGTTAGTTCACGCGTTTTCTCCTATACACACGAGATTCGATGGCGATAGTGGTGATTTAATTTTGTTGCACAGAATGGCAGGACCGTACTAAAAAAATCTTGTAATACTTGGCTCCCAAACCCGTATTAATTATTAATATTCAGCTGGTAGTACCAATTAAACGTCTATTGTTTTTTATGTTTATAAGAAGTTGATATTTGGAAAGTCTATATACTATCCAAGTTAATTCCACTCTTTTTTATAAAATTAGATGAAACATTCACTTAACATTTTGAAAATTAAAAATATGGGTTTGATTTTAGGCCGGAATTTGTAAGATTTATTTAAAATATGTGGTTTAGTTAACGGTCTATGTTTTCATTAATATTTTCCATGGAAATTTTTAAGTATAATATATTTAGATTGTTTTATATAAAAAGTATTGGACGCCTTGACAAAATTATGTACAAAACATAAAATTTTTGGAAAAAATTAAACTTTAAAAAAGGTAATGTCAAAAGTGCTGACAATATGCCTACATTAATGTGAATTGCCCTTTTTACTCTATTTTAATATGGTTATACTTTGTTTTAAAGGTATTACCACTTACTTATTACCACTTTTTAGGAAAACGTCTTTAATAGACACTTATCCAAGGTTCAAGCGTTATTTTAACGCGCACAAAATTAGACGTAACTGGATATCGACCAACCTTCGGCCACATTTTAAGATCATAAGTGAAATACATTACGCTGCGTAACTATCGCGAAGAAATGTATTTAATAAACACGCACTTAGTACTCGCGGATGGTTTACAATTATTAAATTAATTTGTACAAGCTGAGTATGTGCTAAACACGTGGCCAATGTTAACCCGGTACTTGGAATAACAAATAAAATAGTTTAATACGAACTTGAAGTCGAGGCCTGGTATAAATAGGCTACGAATTTTGTGGTTCTCCGTACAACGCCTTACCCTTCGCACAAGTTTCAAATAGTATCTCTTTTAAATGTTCCGACGCCTTAAATCTTCCTTTTATTTGATCGTTGAATTTGAAAGACGGTCCTGGATAAGGGATCATAAACAAGTGTGTGCGGCATGCGGGACGCCCTATGTCACGACGGCGACGCTCTGTTCGACCGGAAGTAGGTGATAAAGGCACAATGCGAATATGGAATTAGTTTTTTACCGGCTCAATTTTGGCATGTCTATGGTCAATAACTCACACACGTACCGATAGGGCAGAATGCGGCCAATGGATTATTAAAAAATACATAATAACAAGAAATGCGTGTGTGCAGCCATCGGAATGATTTAAAAAATTATGTTGGCTTTTTGTTGGGGCCGGGAGGCTATTTTTCACGGCCTAACAGAGTGATACGGTTTCTTTCCAGCGTAAAAGATGCGAAAAATCGACCTTTTCTCAATACGTTTTGTTCGAGAATGTCGATCATTTTTAACTTGATTTAGAAAGGACCACATATAAGGAAACAATCACAGCCCTGTCGACGCGATCGAGCAATCAACAGGGCGGGCATCATTTCTCAAATCAGGGGGAAATATTGAAAACTGATACCTCCGATCTTGACCATATCGATACGAGAACAACACGACTTTTCAATCCCTCGGTATTGTTTTTAACTAATTAACTTAACAGTTTCTATCCGGTTGATCTGGAGATAAGATAAGGGGACGAAATCCTAGACGAACATAACGCAGGTAGAGGAGGGCCATTTTTTAGGGCGAGATCTCTGGATGGATAGGGTCCCTAAAAATATTTACTCTGTCTAAAATGCAAATAAAGGGGATAATAAATAGAACGCGTACGGAAATGGACAGTCCTGTATTTTTTACCGGTACAGGAATGCGAAAGAATTTTTTAAAAACAACAACGTACCTACATTGCATTCTAGATACAAAAGTGTATTTATTTTTCGATATTACGTTTCACAATTTTACTTCGAAATCTTTATTTTCTTCCGAATTTTGTAAAATTTGTGTATAAAATATACACTGACGTCATCAGAAGCAGAAATTTATTTGTAGAAAAATTCGAAATTACCTATACAATGTGTTGACTTTGACTGGCTACTATTTCAAATTTCAAGATACTGGGCAACAACTCGACTCAACTTTTTATCTCTTTTTCTTTTCGACAAACTGTTTATTGAAACTGACTAGTTTTATTAGAGCTTTGTGTGTGTGTGTGTGAAAATTGTCTCAAATAGTGTTTTTAACGCATTTTATATACTTACTTATGAACATAATAAAAGATGTCCGTTCAGCTGCCCAAAGAGGTGGTCCACGATATCGGTGCTATTTAGCAGCGATAATAGCCGTTAAACAGTGAGAGTGTTTGTTGACTTATATTGTTCGTCGGTACTTAAGGCTTCCCGTGAAAATAAGTGACCCCAGCCTTTCGAAACTGCGCGCCTTCAGCTATTCCAAATATTTCTAATCATTATACAGTGTAAACAGAAGCACGGTACGCAATAATGGGTTTTTGTTTCAACATTCGTCGTGGATGGTAACCGATTTTGGTATAAAGTGGTTTCGGTGACAGGGAATATTCCGTATTGTTTGACGTAGTAGTCACATATGAGGAAAGTCATACGGCAACAGTTGTTTAAATATATGCTAGACTGTTAACTATTGTTCATGGGTCTAACATCAAATATTCAACTTTATTCAATAACTTTCTGTGAAATATTTCTTCAATTCTTTGGTACAAGTCAATAAACTTAATCATTTCTCTGATCTGTGAATATGCTTTATGGAAATCGGTATTTTTTCATTAACTTCACCGCTGACAGTTAATAAGGATTGTGACGTCGCAATTTTTGGACGGATCCGACATCGCCATTAATAGCCTGTTGTTAATAAGTGCCCATTAGAGCGTTTGACATATTTTTCTTTCTCAACAAATAATCGCACCATCTCGAAAGACTATTTTAATAATTGCGACTAATCTTTATCTATTACACAGACATTCGATGCAGTTATCTCTAAGTACATGATTTTTTTATGTATTAGTGAAAGTTATGGTTACAAGTTTAGTAGCATGTGTGAGACGCGATATTGTCGGCCGTCATTGGTATGTATATCGATATCTCCCAATAAAGCTTTGACTATTTCATGAAATTTCCATCGCACGTCTTCCTTGCGCATACAAATCGCTGTTGATTGTAAATTCTGCGAGCCAAAGCCAAAAATAGTTCAGATGGATTTATTTTGAATTTATATAAATACCTAGTGATATCATTTTATCTCGATTATTTATACAGAACGGTGGACTGTAAACACGCAAGACTTATAGGTAGTTGGTTATATAATAGGGTTACTCATATCACGCTCGTGAAAACAACTCGAGCTCAATGTTATGAAACTCTGTATATCGTTCCTGATATACCTAATTGCATTCCGATGCAGGAGCGTAAATAAGTTCAATGTTATTTATCCAACTAAACAAATTCGTCATGACACACAGCCGTCCAACTGCCCGAATGCAAATTTCAACCAATTTGATTTCGATGCTCCTGTTTATGTTACTTTTACCGCTATCAGCTCGTGTTTGTTTGATTAAATGAAATATTCCTACCAGGAACTGATTATTTACGAATTTTCTGAGAGATAATATCCACTACCTACTGTTTTATGCGAGTCCTGATAAAAATAAAGACGGTCTTCCGTAAATTAAAATTGCAAAAAAACCTTATGTCCGGTTACTTATTAAAAATTTAATAAGCATATTCCACATCCGTCGAAGTGTAATGAATTTATTTGGATATTTCTAAATTGGAAAGATGACATCCAAAAGGATATATTACCAAATTAAGTGATGTAATCATGCGGAACCTCTTTTCAAAAAACAACACGTACTAACGGCACACAGAAAAGAATTCGGAAATATTCATTGTGATTTATATTCCTTATTAGTACACACACGTAATTATTTTGGATGTTATCATGCATTTACATCTAAGCACATGTTAAATGTATTCCTTGTCTATTGTGCATAGGAATGAGCAAACAACATATACATAATCTAATAGTAACTATACCCAACTATAACCATTAATATTCTTAAAATTTGAAATAAATATGCAGCTTTATTACTTTTGCTTGGGTACTTTTTCAATCATTTTAAATTCGGTATTTCGTTCTTTCATTCAGTAATTAATATTAACGAAATATTGCTCCATTGCCGATAATATGGTACATCTTTTCCGTAATACCTATATGTATTTCAGAAAGTGTCAATACATAATTGAATTTTGGGATTAATTAAATTAATATTTTTTGTAAGTTTTTTATTAAAATCACTGAAAAAACCTTTAATTGGATAAATATTTATCGATATTTATGGATAACCTAGTTGTTGATATATTAATATGAAAATTTACGTAAATAAAATAAATATTCTTTAACTCTGTTTATTTTTACTGTAATTCCAGTTCATTAGCTGAAGTTTTGCTTCAAAAGTGATATGTCATCATAAATAGGCCATATTAAATATAATTTTTCTTTGTCTGTGCATCAAGATACCGGCTAGCAGCATATTGATCTGATGAAAATGGTGTTTTTTGAAAAATAATGTATGCATTTTGAAATTTAACGAACAATTAATTACTGACTAATCTGAAACACAAATAACGCTTGTCATTATATTATTAAATAACCCTTTTTGAAATGGTGACATGCGGAAGAGGCACGAAAATTTAAAATATTGGATGACAAAATAGACTTCACAAAATTCTTTTATTGTACTACCGGTATCATGAACGAGTTATGATTTATGTTAATATTGTTCGTGACACCAGTAGCAGACAAAAATAATTTTGTGAGATAACCATTTCTCTTGCATGTTTTCCATCCGTTACGAATATGACCTGTCCACATTAATTTCAAAGATCTCTCGATACGCGAATTTGGGCTAATCTCTTACACCTTCGCCTCCCGAGTAAGTGCTAATCGTGCAAAGTGTCCACTAACCGTTCATCACAGTTGCAGTGCATGAGCGTGTTGACCCGCCAGTTGAAGAGGCCGTATTTGGTCTCGAAGCCGCCGATCCAGAACGGACACGAGAGGTCGTGCTTCCTGCAGCACCGGTCCGTCCTGGAGAAGCCTCCCAGTCTCGTGTACTTATCGGCGGAGTAGCCTTTTCCACACCACTTGGTCCCTGGGACGCGGAATAGGTCGGAGATGTCGCGCTTGTGCCTAGGGGGATTAACAAAGTTTCATTCTGGCACCGGGTGGTTTACCTAGGCGCTTTGTGTATGGTTTGTCGAGGTGACGATGCTTGCAGATAATGTAAAGCCTTTAGTGCTCTCTTACAGTAACGAGTCAAATTTATTATTAAAGCTGCACGTCTGGAGAAGGTCTAGATATCTTTTTCGATAATAGCGAAGAAAGCGTTTAAGAAATTCGCGTGAATCCTCGTTGAATCTGTAAAACCCAAGGATGCACTTCTCGGTACCTGCGGACTAATAAACGTTGCCTAAAATACAATCCGTTAGTCGTTTTCCAGAACCGGTCGCTTGTTTATTTCGCTCGCGGATAATCAAAAACTGCGGACGGGTCCGCAATATGGGAATCATAAATATCCCAAACGGAGCACACGTCTGATTTATTTATTTAATGTGCGGCTGAAAAGTAGAGTTCCCGCGAACATTATCAACACCTTATCGTGAGCCACTGAAACAACAAACAGCTACTTCGTTGGATCAAGTTCCATACGTCATTTTCTCGGAGAGTTAGGGAGTATATTTGTCGAAAGTTTTAGTTCAACAAATGAATAATGTTCCCGTTAAGCGGACCCCTTTGTGCCCGTTCATAATATTTACAATGATTAGATCTTTCAAAATAATCTCAAACTGTAGGTTTACAAAAAGAGCAACTATTAAGATCAAGTTTAAGCGTCGGAACGGGAGCCGATGCAAACCTCTTAAAGTGAATAGGTTTTATGAAGTATTACGGTTTGAAATAGTAAACAATTTCTGTTAGATTTTCCAGATAGATTGGAAAACATTTACAGGTTAATGGAAATCGTGACGGTTTAGCGAATCAAACACTGTGATATTCATCATATCGCACCAATCTAAAGCCAAGCCCAAATTCCTACCTGTTGTCACAACGGCAATGCGACAGCGTGAAAGGTCGCACGTTAAAAAAATCGTACTTCTCGGTTAGGCCTGGTACGTTAAATTTGCAGTGATCGTGTCGCCTGCAGCATCTGTCGGTGCCCGAGAGACTCCCCAGCTGGGTGTAGACGTCGGCGTCGTGGTGGTGGCCGCACCACAACGTACCGGGTACTATTAACAGGGACCTTTTGCTCCTAGTTGACCTAAGATGGAAAAAGTGGGTTAAATTTGGAGCGAGGATGTATTTCTGCGAGGGAGGAAATGGTTGACTCGTTTGGGTAGATTTAAAGATTCAGTATTCAACGTAAAATTGCAAATATTTGGGTATATTTTTATATTTGAAAAGGAATTGGTTGTTAAGTTTTTCATGTCGGTATAAACAGTGATAGCAAAGAAAAATTCAAATACGGTGGAATCTCCAGAAGCCCCAATAACAGAATAAGAAACAATCTTTTTAATTCTTACACTATTGCATTACAGAATTATACAATTCGCAGGATAAAGCGGACATTTAACAATTGCTTGACTTGACATTTCACAAGACAAACCATACACAAAGCACTGGATAAACAAGTAAGGCAGACACAATACGGACAATTGCTATGATTTTTCAATGTTCCTATAAAAACTATAAATACATACAGTGTTACAGTGAACTTCATCTATAATCTTACTATTTCTAAGATTTAATCTTAGTCAGATTACGATTAACTGTCACTTTTGCTGAAATAATACCGTCAGATGTAATACGACATGTTTTTTCTTTTCGATAACATCTACTTATAACGGACTATTTGAAATAATAATACAAACAATTATGAGAACAAATTCGATGAAAATATTCCCATACCTTTCGCTGTGAAGAAGCTCTTCGTTATCCCGGACCGCCGCCTCCCGAACTATTTTTTTTAATTCCCTATGTCTGCTCTTGCATATCTCCCTGAGGTTGGTGTAGTTCATCCAGCTGAGGCCTTCCGGTAAAGGCTTGAAGTCTAGAGGATCCACCGATATGTTTGAGGTGGCTATTAAGTTACTCAAATCTTGCTTAAAATTATGTAGGAACGATTTCACCTGGTCTCTCTGGTGACCAAATTCACAGTCTCTTAGTTGATTATCACCGGCGTAGATGAGTTGGATGAGGTGCTTCCCGTCCGTCAGCTGACGGAACTTGATGCCATCCGTGTTTCTGCAAAAGAAATAAAAATGTGTGAAAAAGTTTGAGTGACAGCCAGAGAATATATAACACTGTTTTCAGATTTTAATTCACAGCCCACAAAAAAAAAGTATCGGATCTGGTATTCAGACACTTGTATTTCCATGTATTTTTTTCCGCTGAATCCGAATCTGCCTTGAGATTTGTCCCAACGGGTCTGAGTTTTCGGGAAAATTAAAAAAAACAGGTCAAAATTCACAAAAAACGTAATTTACGATCGACGAAAGTTATAAAAAATCAAATTATTCTACCAGCTCACTAGACATATGATTTTTCACTCGTTTAATTCCAATTTATCATCATATAGTCCAAGCATTCTGTCACGGATTAATGTTAAATATGCAGAAATTATTACCTGGAGAAAAAAATATGACCGTATAGAAAATTAAATTTTAAATTGAGTTTCTTGTTCTTTAAACTCGATCCAATATGGCGAACATGGTTAAAAAAAATCGCAAAGTTGAAAAAAAACGGTTTTTCTAAAATAACTAAAAAAATATAGCACGGATTGAAAAATTTTAAATGAGAAAGTTGTAGGTTTTAAAAAGATCTATCGACAGATTTTTTGAAAGTATCGATTGCTTTGTTACTTTTCGAGATATATCGAAAAAACCGTTAAAAATCTTCTCTTTTCTCTTCTTCTATAACTCGTTTACATTTACGTGCCCATATTTGCTATTTACTGCAAGCATAGCCCGCGGCAAGCCAAAAAAGTACATTTTTGAAAAATTTAAAAATATTAATTATTTTTCGAGATAT